ATTTTTGCATCTGTGGGCATAAGTGAGACTGGCTTATAATGTTTTCTTCTCATGCTGTCTTAGGTTTTAGAATCAAGGTTATCCTGGCCTTACAAAAGAGACTGAAGAGTATCTCCCTTTTGCCATAGTCAAAACAGGAATTTTTTGGAATTTGAAGTGGAACCATTTGATTCTGGAATGTGTGGGAGAACTGGCCTGTCTTACACAGTAAATATTGGTTAAATTTAATTAACATATTTACCATTTATTTTGCTCTTCCTTCCTTCTTGCATTTCAGACATTCCATCTTGGATCTGAGAAAACTTTCTCTCTGAATTACTTTCTTAAAGTACTTCCTTAAGAATTTCTTTCTCCTGTTGGTAGGGTAGTCAGGGTTCAACCAGAGAAGCAGAACCAGTAAAAGATTTAAGAGACAGATAGACAGATACATATACACATATGAGAGTTATTACAAGAAACTGGTTTACAGGATTATGAGGGCTGGCTAAGCAGGTCAGAAATTCATAGGATAGGCAGTCAGGAAGGACAGACCATGGGCAGGTGGGACCACAGTCAGGGGCCGATGCTGCCACCCACAGGTGTACCTCTCTCTTTCAGGAAAATCTCAGTCCTGTTCTACAAGCCTTCCAACTGCTTCTGACAGGCCCACCCAGCTTATGTAGGATTATCTTCCTTATTTAAAGCCAAATGATTAGGGGTTTAAATTACACATGTAAAAATACCTTCACAGCAATACTTAGATTAGCATTTGATTAAATTACTGGGGGCTGCAGCCTCACCAAGCGGACACATCATTAAAGCCAACACAGAGGGCAAGCTCAGCTTTAGCAGGGAAATGTCTTCATGGCACTCTTGCAATTAAAAGGTATTTTAGTTGGTGTAGGATTCTAGGCATTTTTTTCTCAACACACTGAAGATATGGCAGTGTCTTCTGGATTCCACTGCTGCTAGTGTGACGTCATCTGTCGGTATTTGCTCTCTGAAAGTAATCTGTTTTTTCTCTTTAAAAAAAATTTCCTCTTTATTGAATGTTAAATTGAATGCTGAATCTGCTGTGTGGGTGTAGATTTCTTCTTATTTCCTCAGTTTGGAGATGTGGGACTTCCGGAATTTATAAAGTGTGCGTGTAACTGCCTCTGGCCCCATCCTTCCAACCAGCATCTCTCCTCCACTTCCTGTCTGCTCCTTTCAGAACTGACTGTATGGATTTCAGACATTTCCACTCCACCCTTTATGTTTATTAAACTCTTACATTTTCTGCTTCTTCATGGCTCTGTACTATATTCTGGATAATTTCTTTTTCACATCTTCCAGTTCAGCAAATCTCTCTTTAGTTAGATCTGACTGGCTATTAATACATCAATTTCCTTTCATTTAAATTACATGCTTCCTTACCAGAAGTTTATTTGCTACATTCTTAAAATTGTCTTTACATTCTTTAAAGTTTTTACGCCTTGAACATTTTTAAAGCTTGTCTTTTAGTTCTCTGAACATCTTAAGCACAGCTATTTTATATTCTACTTCTGTTACATCCCGTATTTGAAGTCTCTGCAGGTTTCTGGTTTCTTCTGTCTGAGGTTTCTGGTTCACGATTTGTTTCCCTGTATGTCTAATGACTTTTAAGAGTGAAATTTTTCTTTGGGATCTTAGCTGGGAGAATTCCTTGATGCCTGGATGAAGGTGGATTCCTCAAGGAGGATGCGTATTTGCTTCTGCCTGAGGGCACTAACAGTCAGGATAACTTTACACTTGACTTGAGTTTGGTCAGACCAAATCAGAAATTATTAATTCAGGCTTCAGAGTCCTGTGCATGCTGGTGAGTGGCAACTTCTCAGCAGCACTCTTGCCTCCCCTCCACTCATGCCAGAGCTTCAGATGTACAATCCCCAGGAAGTGGCTGAAGGGAAGGAGCACCTTTATTTCTTGTTTACCTTTACACTAAGTCTTCCCAGATTGATGGCAGCTGAATCTCCTATCACACTTCTCATCTTGAAGAGTAAGCACTGGGCTCTGTCTCCTGTGACCCTCACCACACGATGTTTTGTCAAATTCTGCATTTTAAATTGTTTCAATACATAAGTGAGCTCCGAATCCTTCCCTGCCATATTATCAGAAATTACAGTTCACTTTAATGCTTACCTTAAAATTATATGCTTCTCTCCTGGGTTCATGTTCTCTCAATTTTGATGCATAAGAATTGTCGAATAAAGAGAGGGCCTGGGTAGTTCTTGACCCATAATGGATCACAAACTCATGGTCAGGAATATTAATCATTTGTACCTAATAAATATTTTTATATTCTTTCAGAAAGATCAGTAGTGTCTTTCAGAATTCATCTATGTTAATAATTTTTATCAATCGATTCCTTTTTTTTTTTCCCTTTTCCCCCCAAGCTTTAGTGAAGCATAAGTGGTATACAAAAAACTGCGCATAATTAATGCAGACAATTTGCTGAGTTTGGGCAGATGTATATACTCCTGTTACCATCACCACAATCCAGGTAATAAACATGTCCATCACCTCCAAAAGTTTCCTTGTGTCCAGTTATATTCCTGTTTGTTTGTGTGCAGTAAGAACATTAGCAGGAGATCCATACTCCTAACACATTCCAAAGCACAGAACACTGTACTGTCGGCACCTCGGATGCTGGACCTGACTCACCTTTACAACTTTGTGACGCTGTCAACAGAATCTAAGGTCCTTTCAGGGATACCTTCAACTATCTCTTTCTCAAGGTTCATAAAATAGTATCAAGTTTAAGAACACGGTCAATTGGTGTATGTAAAACTATCCAGGTTGTCCCATAATCGGTTCTACTTTGACCATTCTCATATTTTACATTTAGCCTTTTTGACCAAGTTATACTTTTAAAAAATCCTGCATAGATATGTATTTTGTTAATGTAACTGCTCTAAGGATGAGGCAGACCCTAAAATTTATGAGCTTCTGCTAAGTTTCATGCACTGTCGAGCTAAGAGTGCACAGGTGTTAATTCACATAAACTGTATCACAACCTGTGGGGCAGGGTACAACACTTGCTATTTTACAGAAAAAGAAACAGATACTTATGAACAAAAAGCTACTGAGTGACAAAGCCAAGGTTTAACCCAACTCCACCTGGCTCCTAAAATACATATGCTTTTTGTAGTTACGTAAAAAAAAAAAAAAAAAAAAAGACCATGTATGAACTTTATCAAACGATAAGACTCTAGTTACAGAATCTCAAAAAGGGAAGTAATACGTCACTCTACCCAACCATTCAGCCCTTGACCTCCATATAATTTGAGCTTCACAACTCAGTTTTGACAACGGGAGGTACAACTATCTCCTCTTGACAGACAAAAACACAGCAAGGGCACTGATATTTAACTCAACAAGCATGCACTGGACGACTAGCCTGGGACTGCACTGTGCGATACACTTCAGCATTTACAGACCATCACTCGATCCTGTTCCAACCCTGGGAAGTAATTCAGTCTATACCGGAGCCCTCTAGGGACAGAGAACTCCAAAGGGAGCCCGCTCCATCCTGGGAAATTCAAAAGACATCTTTAATCTGGAAACCCACCAAACCTGGTTCTTTCTGTTCCTGAAAGCTGTGTACTGGACAAATCTAACCCTTTCTTTAAGGTAAACTTTCACATATTGGAAGACAGGTATATCCCCACAGAGCATTCTTCCAACTCAGATCATTATTTAGAACTTCCTCAGAATACAGATAAATAGTATGGGATTTTTTCACCATGCTGGTTTCTTCACTTATCTAATTTGAAGCTTATTTTTTTTTTTTTTGCGGTACACGGGCCTCTCACTGTTGTGGCCTCTCCTGTTGCGGAGCACAGGCTCCGGTCGCGCAGGCTCAGCGGCCATGGCTCACGGGCCCAGCCGCTCCACAGCATGTGGGATCTTGCCAGACCAGGGCATGAACCCGTGTCCCCTGCATCTACATCAGCAGGCGGACTCTCAACCACTGTGCCACCAGGGAAGCCCTTTGAAGCTCATTTTGAGTTATTTGGTCTCTTTCCTCTTAACAGACAAAGGAATTTCTATTAACTTGTGTGCTTCTCAAGGGCATCACTGAGTTCTTTTGTTTGTTTGTTTTTTGTTTTTTTTTGCGGTACGCGGGCCGCTCACTGTTGTGGCCTCTCCCGTTGTGGAGCACAGGCTCCGGACGCGCAGGCTCAGTGGCCATGGCTCACGGGCCCAGCCGCTCTGCGGCACGTGGGATCCTCCAGGACCGGGGCACAAATCCGTGTTCCCTGCATCAGCAGGCGGACTCTCAACCACTGCGCCACCAGGGAAGCCCCATCACTGAGTTTTTATTCATGTCTGCGCCCTGGCCCTGAGCACAGTTTATGACACACTGTAGGTCTTCATTAAATGTTGAATTCACATAGCTAACTTTACACTTAAAATTGTCACGTGGAATAAGAAAAGTGTTAAGAACTTAATTTAAATTACATAAACAGAAACTACGGCAAGCCTAAATTAAGAAACTTGCCATGATCACACAGTGGGATGAAAGAGACACTGCATCTAAACTTTCTGAAATCTGATGTCAAGCTGCTGCTTTTTGAAATGACAGTTTTATTTTCTGAGCCAGAAATCAAGACACACAGAAGGACTATAAAATTTTTTCTGAAATTTTAATTTGTGATTATGGAAAGTTTTACAAAGCTCGAAAAGTTACGCATTTATAAATCGTTTTTATAAACTGGATTGCGTTGGGATGGTCCTATTAAAAAACTCAGTTTGTTTACCATACCCAGCTAGCACACTACGATAAGCCCTTCTAAGATGCCTTACGTAACCAGTCTTACTGCTGCTTCTGCTGCGCATGGATACTCTCCTCTGTGAGACCATTAGCTGAGCAACTTTCAGTGGGGAAGTTTTTAATAGCAAAGTTTGGACATAATTTTACAGTGACAAAAAAGTGTTATAAATTTCTGTTACATTTCTGTAACCTTGTTACAGAACAAAACGTGGAGGTCCACTCTTACCTGCTTAAAAAGCTGGAGGTTAACTGCGGTTTCTAAGAACTGTTTCATCAGACTTGAGCGGTGCTTGACGAAACTCTCCTCACAGAACGTGATGGGCTCACCCTGCACAGAAACAAAGAATTTCGGGGACGTCAACAGAAAGTCAGCACAAACCAGTCTATCTGAAGAGGCACCTGGGAGGTCACACAGGAGTGTAAGACACAGAACTTCAAGGTGCTCAGAGTGTAGAGGGAGTGAGACCCTTAAACATAATGGCTGGAGGTCAGGCTGGTAGAAATATTCCTCGAGCCGATAAGCTTCTGCTATAGCTTCCTAATTAAGGATCCCTCGGGCTCTTAAAAATGGTCACTTTCACTCCCTCACAGTAAGACTAAATCCCCTAAAAACAAAGATTTAATATTATGAGGTTGATTATGAGTATTAAAAATTGCACACAGGGCTTCCCTGGTGGCGCAGTGGTTGAGAGTCCGCCTGCCGATGCAGGGGACATGGGTTTGTGTCCCGGTCCGGCAGCATCCCACATGCCGCGGAGCGGCTGGGCCCGTGAGCCATGGCCGCTGAACCTGCGCGTCTGGAGCCTGTGCTCCGCAATGGGAGAGGCCACTGCAGTGAGAGGCCCGAGGACCGCAAAAAAAAAAAAAAAAAAAAAAAAAAAAAAATACTGCACACAATCTGAACAAGTCCAACCAACAATTATATTTCATTCTGATTAGAAAACATTCTTACCATAAAAATCGCTGCATGCTTTTTGCCGTTTATAGTATGATCATTAATTTCTTTTTGAATTAATTAAAAGGTCTTTCAATCACATTCTATTCATGATTGCAAATACAATTCTGATTGGATACATTCTAGGATAAGCCTCACATGGCGTGTGCCTGAACTTATCCTATTTGCTAAGTAATCACAACTCGGCAAGTGTCTTCTGGCAGCTTTGGGCTGTTAGCCGCTCTTTCTCCATCGCCAGGGCCT